CCGGCGAGATTCCGTGAATTTCAGGGCTTAAAAGTGGTAAGGTTTTGTTCTACTTGTTCTAAGCTTCATTTTGGTACCAATTTCATGGAATTTGGTTGAAAAACAAGTGAGAAACGAAGGTTTGAAAATTTTCCTGTTTTTCGACGACGGCAACAGCACAGGAGGTGTGCCGAAGAAGAAGACGGAATATTTCGTAAGTTTGGACGAAATATTCTTAACGGCGTTAGGTTAACTTTAACGGAATCTATTAGTTTTAACGGAATATTCCTGACGGCGTTAACTTACGCCGTCAGTGTGCCTGGCACGTGGCCCGCGTGAGAGGCGTGTCTGGCCGTGCCTTGGTCTGCGCATGGGGGCGCGTGAGACGTCGAAATATTATTTTAAAAATATGGGGATGTTATGAGGTTGAGTAGATCACGTTGGTGTGTTCACACACCCCATTTGAGCATTGTATGAGAAGTTATTACCTAGTTTTGGTTATGTGCTTTAAATTAACATTTTTATAGTTGTTTCGCATATAGGTGAGACCTATCCCGAGGACGAGCGCAATCACTCGAGGCAGGGGGGTTATGACCCTTCTACATACCAGTGAGTGGACTTTTGGTTTTCTGTATATACCTATATACTGTGGTTTTTCCCAGAAAATGATATGGAATGTTTATATGTTTTTAAATGCCAGGCATAGCGTTTGCCTATTTATTTATGCATTAGTAGTTGCATATATGTATGTTTGGTGCTGCGGACGCACAGGTAAGTGCCAGGTAAGTTATAGTTTATAGTTGTGACGTACTAGTTATGTGAGATACATAGGGAGCTCATAACCTACACCCTCGGTGTTAGTGCTCCCGCCCAGAGTAGGGCACAGTCTTTCACGTGATGTTCACCTTCCGCACCACACGCTCATCTTGGATCTAAGTTAGGTGCACAGTCTTGTCGTATAGACCACTTTAGATGGTTCTGACTCGTAGGTGACCTGTGATTATTCGCCCAGTCTTCACGTGATCGTAGCACTTGAGCGTATTTATTTACACCCAATCCTGTCGTACATACCACTTTAGGTGGTTCCGACTCGTGTGCAGGTATAGTTAGTGAATTGAGGATTTGAGCTCTAGATTTAGTCGTACAGGTCACGTTAGGTGACTCTGGCTGACATGTTATTTGCATTGTTTGACATCACCTGGGTTACTTACTTTTTATGTGGAGGCATTCGACATGGCATATTTCTGAGCATGTTTTCGATATATGTGTATATTCTATTTTCTGGGAAACTATACAGGTTTTACGGCGAGGGTTATAATTTTTGTTAATGAAATGATTTTGAAAAGCTTTGTTTTTGCCCACTCACACTTTCTGTTTTGCGCCCCTCCAGGTTCTAGTTTGGATTGCTCTGTTGGTGGCTCACGAGGAATCCACGGCATATCTGACAGATTATCACCAGTGTATGACCCTCTCTGGGTGTGTTTAGTTAGTATTTGTTCCTCTGGACTGCACTAGGTTTTCTGTGCTCTGAATATTGTTTTTCACACTTACGCTTGTACATGTATGTTAACTACTCTGTGTATAGTTTGATTTTTATTGGTTCATACTTTTATTATTATTCTTAGCTTCCACACTATGCAAATGGTTACGTCACCCTTGTGTGACAGCCAATACGTCTTGATTTCGGTCGGGGTGTGTCAGTTTTAGTGACAAAGCATACTTATCCTATTTATATATAAAGAAATGATACTTAACACACTCATTTTTGTTCTACACACTCTTATTAGTTCATTTTCTTTGATCATCTTTGCTTTAGTCAATTCAACAAAGAAAAATCAAACTTTTTCATACGGTGTACCTGTAAAAGAAAAAAGCTGAGGCGGCATAACTATGTGCCCCTTATAGTATTAGTCACAAGTGGGCCAATATTTCGTTTCTAATTTCATTCTGATGTCCTTTCCTTGTATGACCACACTTTTGTCTTGTAAGATATAAGTCCGAACTGAATTAGAAATTCGGTAGTTAGGGCCATGAGTTTCAAGCTAAGATTTTTAGGAGTTGTGTGTGATAAATATTTTATTTTCACTTATGTTTTGGTTTTTGTTTTTGTTTTTTTGTTTTTTGTTTTTCTTTTTGAGAAATTTTCACTTATGTTTTTAACAAAAATCAAAGCAATTACCTAAAGAAATCAGATTCCACCACAAAAAGAATTGATAATATGAAAAGTAACTCAACTACTTATATGCATATATAAAGTTGTGAATTCATTCTTAACATTACGAAACAACAAGTTTTCAGCTGAAAATTGAAAACCAAACTTGTCAAAACAATATCTTTCAATTTTTACTTTTCAATTTTCAGTCCTAATTGTCAGCCTAGGTTTCTACCTGGTCGTCCACGTGGTCTGCCCACTGCTGGAATTTCACTCTTCGTTATTTTTGTTTGTGTTTTTTCTGTACGCTAATGTTTGTTGACCTGTAGATTACGTTGCACGGAAAGATGGCCGAGCACACACACGGTCATGCACTACTGGAAATCCGAACGGTATGTTCAATCCGTGGCTATTACAAGCACTAGTCAAGGATTAGTCGTGGCCAACGCACAATTCCCCTGTTATTACTTATTAGATATTTGAGGTTGTCTATCCCTAATTTGTTCATGTTGAAACACGTATTTTATTATTCAACATATATTTTAAAAAGTATACTAGTACTTTACTTATATTATTAGAACACACGGTGAACTAATAACACCACTTTATTTGGTAATATGTTATACCAAAAAAACATTTCTAAACTACGTGGTAATGTAACAATTATTAAAACCAAGAAATTTTCACAAGGGTAGACAGACTACGATATTTTGGGTCCATTATACATAATTGATTGACTGATTTTGTTCTGTGAACAGTGGGGTGAAGGGGGTATTAATTTTGCTAGGATTAAGCTAATTTCGGCTGAGCAGGCTGGACTTCTACAAAACTACCACTAAATTTTTGGGACTCCTTCATATATTTGTTAAGTTTGCTGTTAATCAGTCGTTAATTGATGACATGGCACTCACGTGGACAGCGACTAGGTGCCACGTGTCATAGGGGCCCACATAAATATTATTATTTTTAAAAAAAATTTAGGGCCTATTTGGTATCCTATTTAAATTTTTTTTTATCATTTCTTGAAAACAATTTTCTTTAAGACTCAAAAACTTGATTGGTTTGTGATTTAAAATTTTTAAATCTTACGACATAAACTAGACAAAGAGATCTAAAAAGAGGAGGTTGTAAGAGGGGGAGAAAGAGGAGAGAGGAGGAAAGAAAGTAAGAGATGATTGAAGGGAAAAGAAAGAAGAGAGAGGATCAGACAACATAGAGAGGAAGAGGAGTGAGAGAAAGAACCAAGAGAATGAAGAGAGCGGATTGGAGGAGAGACGAAAAAGGTAAAAAACAAAAAAAAAGAGGAGAGAGAAAGAAGAAAAGAGAGATAGATTTGGAGTGAGAGGGGAGGAAGGAGAGAAAAGAAATGAGTGACATTAGGTTTAAAAACTCACTTTTTATGTTTTTAGATAATAGACTATATTTTTGAGTTAATCTTGAGTTCAGTTTTTTAAAATAGTCATACCAAACAAGTTTTTAAAGCCTAAAACTTGAAAATTGTTTTTGAGTTTAAAACGTTGGATTCAAGTAGAGTACCAAACAGGGTCTTAAAAATTTTGAAATTTTAAAAATTATGACTTTTATCTAAATTCTAAGTTCATTTCCATCATCCAAACATAATGTAATGGAATTACAAAGTGGATAAATGGTCTTGTTAAAGAGGTGTGGGTTGCACAACACAATAGGTGTGTGATTAGATTTTATAATAAAAACCTTCGATGCAATTTGTAGTAAAACCATTCAATTATATGTTGTATCTTATTTCATCGTTGATTACGTAAACTCATATTTGAATGTATACATTTCGATAGTCTCATAAATTTAATGTATCATAATGTTTAAAAGTGCGATACGGAAATGATTTGACTGAATGATTCGAAAGGTAGTTAAGCCACATAAAAAGTTGAAATTATACTATTATAGAGCAAATCAATACATACGCATAGCAATGAAAATTAGTAATATCTCAAGTACCTAGCTACGTACAGCCATGCAAACCAATACATACGTTAGCAAATGTGAAAGGGATGCTTAAAATGAATGACCAATACGAGCGACTGTTTGCGCTAAAGTCAAATACACAATCAAAGCCTTTGGTTGGTGCTATATCACTTTCAGGGTGTATGTTTTATCTTTTAAATCTAAAATTTGCAATTTGTACTACCCTTATAGAGTGAAGCAACCTTCTCCACCCTCCCACAGTCCACAAACCACCTTTTTGATTTGCTTGGCTTTTCTATACTACCAGAGACCACCGCGTGAAATATTACAACAAAGGTTAGGGGGCCGGAAAGTACATTTTATGAGATGTCCTCGCTCCTCATCAGCTATTTTTGGCAGGATCATGATATAAGTCGATTTTCCAACTATTTATGAGGTATTTAATTGCATTCGCATTTGAGCACACGAAGGATTTAATTAGTAATTTTAGAAAAGATGGCAAAGTAATGCAATGGAGCACATTAACGTGGAGACCAAATTATTATCTCACAAAGCAACCGTGGAGGAAAAGGAAACCTCAAGGAAATAGTAATACCCTTTAGATTTGAAGTCTAATAATGTGTGAGTCTTGTGCATTTACTACTCTTGGTGCACAAGTCCAAAACCGACCAAATTCCAAAGTTCTAACTTCTAACTATATGCTTTCAGTCAGCACCAAAATCTTCATTCTTTCTCTCATGGTGCTTTGGGGGAAGCTTCATTCCTAGAAACATAACACATCCATTGAAGAAAAAATTAACACAAAAGCAAGTACCTAACTAATAGAAAAATGAAAAACAACTTTTTATATAGATAAAAAGAACCATCAATGATGTGCATGTATACATGTTAGTATCGTATTCATTAGAAACAAATGAAGTTGAGATAAGCCCTTATTTGATTAAATGATATATTGTTGTGTGACGATAGAGTAATGCTATATATGGAGATTCAATTTGTAGGTAAATTTGTAAACCAAATGATGTGTCACCAATAGAAAATGAGTATGTTTATTAACGGTTAAGTAACAATCCAATTATTAACTTTCATGTCATTTAGTTTATAAAATTTTAACTACAAATTTAGTCTCCTTGACATTATTTGTTACAATATTACCATGTGGCATGTCAATTGAGAAAAAGTGATGAGTTGTAGGAATGTTTCATGAAAGGTGATGTATAAGGACCACCAAGAGGTGCACTGCCGGTGTACACGCGGTTGTGCAAGTTTTTACATGCTTGATGGTTCGGTATGATGTACAACACGCAAGCAATTACGACTCATTGACCAACACTGGCACAATTGAATTCTGTTATTTCCTTTCTTATGGGTTGGTTTTTCTACATTCGAATTTTGAAATGGACTTTTCCATCAAAGTTTGCTTCCTGTGCAGCTTGCCAGTCAATCTTCCACTGCCTATAAATCTACAACTGCCTTACCCTTTGCCTCACACCTCATTACTTAAAAAAATAAGCACTACTGTCGTTCCAGACTTCCAGTAGTATTATCATTCCCTCTAGCTATATAGTTTGTGTGTGTTCTTTGGAACAAAGAAAATGGCCTCATCTGCAAGTGAGAATCGCTTACTGTTATCCAAGATTGCAACCAATGAAAAACATGGTGAGGACTCGCCATACTTCGACGGATGGAAGGCGTACGATCAAAAACCATTTCACCCAACTGAAAATCCTGAGGTGTTATCCAGATGGATCTGGCAGAAAATCAGGTTTGGACTACGTTATTCCTTTTCTTCCCGTTTTAGTTTATTTCAGTTATAAGGTGGTTAAGGGGGGGAGGGATTCAAACTTTCGCCTTGAAGTCGGAGAAAATATTCACTATCACTTGAGCTACAAGCCTCGACCGTGACTCTGTTGTATTATACTTAATTACGTTAGAGTTAAGAAGAAATTAAGCTAACAAAATGCATGGTTTTACTTTGTCTGTTTTCAGCTTTCCTTCGACTTGGTTGAAGAGTGGATTAAGAAAAATCCCAAAGCCTCTATTTGCACTGCTGAAGGAATTGAGAAGTTCAGAAACGTGGCCAATTTTCAAGACTACCATGGCTTACCAGAGTTCAAACAGGTATACATACACATATGCATGCATGGCATGGTCCATGGAAATCAATTATTCAGTAATTGCCATTATAATTTACTTGCATGATCTTAATTAATTTTCAAGCCATTGCTACGTTCATGTCGAAAGCAAGGTGTGGTAGAGTCACATTTGATCCTCATCGCGTAGTTATGAGTGGCGGAGGAGCCACCGGAGCAAATGAGCTGGTCATGTTCTGTTTGGCCGACCCCGGAGATGTTTTCCTTATCCCCTCACCGTAATATCTAGCGTACGTGATGCTTCTTCTATGTCTTTAATTTCAAATATTGTGTTTTAATTGTTTACGTTTACGTACGTACTTTTCTAATAGTTGAGTACTTGATTCCCCAATAGCCATCATTTTTCTTTAGGAAAACTAATAAAAAGGGATTGAAAACTTTAAGTTTTAACGATAAGAACAAAATAAAGGGTAAAATGAATAGTATCAGGATTGACTTTTTAGTGTAAAAATGTAGTTTTTCGTTAAAGTGAACAGTACCAAGAGCTTTTCGTTAAAGTTCCATTCTTCTTTTGCGTTTGGTTGACTACGCGTGTTTTAATTTGTACACACAATACAGTAGTAGGTTTAAGAATTTGGTAGAAAGAAACTTGTGGAGGCCAAGTCATGGACTTGACCACAAGGGTTTTGAAATCCTTAAGATAAACATATATTTGGGTTTTTATATTAAGGATAAATTATAATTAGATGTCTCAGTTTAGATTTTTCTAAATTAAACATCTGTTACTTTTCAACTTTTGATTAAAGTGCTTTTACTTTTAATTAAAATTTATATTCCAAGTATATTCTTAATTTAAGTATTTTATAAATCCTTTTAAATCCATTTCTATGTAAAAAAAATGCACTCAATAATAGTCATTAATTTATTGCTATTTTTATGGAATCTCATCCCTTCCTCAATTTAAGGATTCAATTATATCTACTGGGGTTCAAGATTAATTGGATGAAATATAGTTTTTCTAATTTCCAACTCAACATTTTATATAGATTATAAAAAAACAAGAGTCGTTTATAATTAAAATTGAGATGTAGTTTTTTGGGTTACACAACTTACACATAACGTACAATAAGTTTTGTACGTACCAAAATAAGGATAATACAACGTACTAATAACTTGGTATGTACTAAATAAAGAATTGCATAACGTACCAAAAGCAATATTTTATAACGTACCAAAATACTAATACGTACCCAGATTAAATTTATATAACGTACCAATAATGTACCAAATGATTGGTACGTTATATTTAATATATCTGTTTGGTCCGTTATATTTAATATATGTGCATGTTATATTTCATAATTGTATGTTAATATGATGTTTATGTGTTTTTAGAATTTAAAACAACAAATTATTTGAATAAAAAAAATTCATTTTGAACGAATTATGATAAGATAAGATAGGATGTTTATGGTGATTTTAGAATATTTGTGATATTATTTTCTAAACCAGTTGGTTAATTAAATACAATAAAAATCATAATTTTTAATTAAAAATTAGTAGAAGAATGTTTGATCAAAAGTTTAAAAATTATAGATGTTTGATTAAAAAAATTCAAATTTGAGGCATCTATATCAAAATGCCCCTTATATCAAAGGTCAACAGATTTGGTCCCCTTGAGATAGAAAGAGTTGTAATATTTTCTTTACTTTTTTAAAATAATGTTTTGGTCTGAGAATTTTTCATATTTGAAATTAATATATAGGTACAAATAAATTAAAAAATAGGTACATTTAGAAAAATTTAAAATGGGTACAAATAAATTAAAAATATGGGTAAAAATACAAATAAAAGTTCAAAAAATATGGGCACAAAATGAAATTAATATATAGGTACAAATTAAAACTAAAAATAAAATTGGTACAAATTAAAAAAGGTTGCAAATTAAAAACGGGTACCAACTAAAAATAAAAATATATGATTAAAAATTTAGCCATAAATATAAATATACCCTATGTAACATTTCTATATTTAGAAATAAAAAATATTTGTTATTGAAATAATTAATGACGTTTATCAAAACCTAAGAACCTTGATAAAAAATTAAAAATGAATAAGGTTTTAATCAATGGAGTAGTAAAAAGAAGGATGAGAACCTAATTTCTCCTTTTCTTTTATATTTATAGAAAGGTTCCTAATTTTGAATCTCGCCCACTTACTCATCATTCTACACTCAGCCCTCAAGATCACATACAATATTATTAATGTATATCATAAGAACTAGTTAAGACTAGGGACTCCATAGTTGAAATTTACTAGAAGATCAAGCCATACGCATCAATCCTCAACCATACATTCACATTGGATGATAATTCAAATCAGATTAGTCTGTGTAGTTACAACTGGATGTTTAGGCAAAACTCCAACTTCGTTTCCTTCTCATATTTAATTGTTTAAAGTCTTAATCTTTATACCGTAATGTTAAAATTCTTTAATTAGCTTCAATTTCCGTTCTCATTTTCATATATCCATATGTACAAATTATGAAGAAATTGCTAGTTACAAGTCACCAAGCTAATTTAGAAGCTTAATATATGGATTGAATTAGTTTCATTAATAATTAATTAAGATTTCATATGTCTAATTGCAGATTTTACCGAGACCTCAGATGGAGAACTGGAGTCCAAATTGTCCCGGTCGATTGTGATAGCTCCAACAATTTCAAAATAACCAAAGGAGCACTGGAAGCAGCTTATGAAAAAGCCCAATACAACAGAGTCACGGTTGAGGCTTGTAGCTCAAGTGGTAGTGAATATTTGTCCGACTTCAAGGCGAGTGTTCGAATCCCTCACCCCCTTAACCACCTTATGCCTGAAAAAAACTAAAACGGGAAGAAAAAGAATAATGTAGTCCAAACCTGATTTTCTGCCAGATTCATCTGGATAACACCTTCAGGATTTTCAGTTGGGTGAAATGGGTTTTGATCGTGTGCCTTCCATCCGTCGAAGTACGGCGAGTCCTCACCATGTTTTTCATTGGTTGCAATCTTGGATAACAGTAAGCGATTCTCACTTGCAGATGAGGCCATTTTCTTGGTTCCAAAGAACACACACAAGCTATATAGCTAGAAGGAATGATAATACTACTGGAAGTCTGGAACGACAGTAGTGCTTATTTTTTTAAGCAATGAAGTGTGAGGCAAAGGGTAAGGCAGTTGTGGATTTATAGGCGGTGGAAGATTGATTGGCAAGCTGCACAGGAAGCAAAATTTGATGGAAAAGTCCATTTCAAAATTCAAATGTAGAAAAACCGACCCATAAGAAAGGAAATAACATAATTTAATTGTGGTAGTGTTGGTCAATGAGTCGTAATTGCTTGCATGTTGTACATTATACGGAACCATCAAGCGTGTAAAAACTTGCACAACCACGTCCACACCAGCATTGTACCTCTTGGTGGTCCTTATACATCACCTTTCATGAAACACTCCCACAACTATCACTTTTTCTCAACTGACATGCCACGTGGTAATATTGCCATAATTAATGTTAGGAAAATTAAATTTATAGTCAAAATTTTATAAACTAAATAACATGAAAGTTAATGATTAGATAATTACTTAATCGTTGATAAATATATACTCATTTCCTATTGGTGACATATCATTTAGTTTGCAAATTTTGTCTACAAATTTAATTTTCATAATATTACTCTATTGTCACACAGTTGTGTATGCCATTTAATCAAATAAGGACTTATCTCAACTTCATTTGTTTCTAATGAATAAGATACTAACATGTGTACATGCACATCATTGATGGTTCTTTTTATCTATATAAAAAGTTGTTTTTCTTTTTCCTATTAGTTAGGTATTTGCTTTTGTGTTAAGTTTTTCTTCAATGGATGTGTTATGTTTCTAGGAATGAGGCTTCCCTGAAGCACCATTATAGAAAGAATGAAGATTTGGTGCTGACTGAAGGCATATAGTTAGAAGTTAGAACTTTGGAATTTGGTCGGTTTTGGACTTGTGCACCAAGAGTAGTAAATGCACAAGACACACACATTGTTAGTGAAATGATATGTGAAACAAGTGTCGAAGCAAAAAAAAAAGTGAAATAAGGAGTCAATATGTGAAACAAGTGTCGAATCAACAAACTCCAAGATAATGGATTAATAGTCCATTACTAGCCCCCTCACATTTCATCACATCAAGCCAATCATACAAATCAAACCACACATTCCACAACAAGTTCAATACACAAATCAAATCACATAAAATAAACAAGCATATCACAATATAATGCAATCAGTACATAAATCAAGGTGCACGTCAGTCAAGGAGACACGTCATCATGATGAGCCCAACAAGCTCCATAAAATCTCAACTGCACTCTAAGATCAGCAACATGCTGGAAGAACTCACGCTAGTTGACTAAAAAGTCGACCATCGATCAAGGTCAAGAATAGGGTCCACAACCCTAGAAATCTAAACTGGAATATCCGCTTATCAGATTTCTGATCCGTAACTTCCCAAGGTCGATATTATGCTTCTAGAATAACATACTAAAATATCACTACGATTCGACGGTCGGTTCTCCGCCAATCACAAATTCAAGTGGCGGTCAACATTTTATTTTACGAATTTACAAATCCAATTCGAGAAGATCTGTACTTCGGATTCCCGATCCATCAGTTCCTATGGTCTTCAAATATTACGTACTATAATGTATCAAGGTTTGGTGACGATCTAACGGTCGGATTGCTAATTCATACAACGGTCAAGTGATGTATCGTAATGGAACTACGTTCAATCAATCAATCCACATCATATGGATATCAATTATGAAATCAGGGAATCTAATTGAACTTAGAAAGACATCGTCGGCCCACTGGCCACGTGTCGCCGCGAATTCTAGGAAAATTCAAATATTTTTAAAAATTACCAAATTTTACAGGCAAGTAGAGTTCAATGAGAGGAACAACTTTCATACCTGGGCTGAAGTCCAATTCGGTCGGGAAGTGCTCGGAATCACTGCGGACCCGCCGAAACCCTAGAATTTGGGTGTTCCTTAATTCGTCGAAATCGTAGCCTCGCCGCCCCCAAACTTATGTGGGCTTTGTTTCAAGGCATAAGGGGAAGCTAAAGGTGGTGGTGATTGAGGGTAAATGTTTCAGAAATGGTGGATCAATGGCAAGGTATCACCGCACCCATCGGTGCGGTTTTCACCAAACCGAGGCTAATTTTCATCCATTTTGGGGTGAGAACTGAGGAGGGAGGCCCGGTGTGAAGTTTCCAGGTGATGTCTTGTCTAGTTCGTCGAATTTTGTTCAGGAAACCATCGATTTCCATGGTTCCCGTCGATCGGTTTGCACAGGTCCAGGGAGACCTGATTCTCCCTTCTTTTTTTTTTTTTGCCCTTTTTTCCTATTTTTTTTTTCTCTCCTTTCCCTCCTTTCTTTATTTCCTCATTGGGTAGTCCTCTCTCCTTTCCTTCCCATCCTGTCCGTCCATCTTTTACTTTCTCTTCTTTTCTTTTTATCTCAGCCACAAATGTGGCATAATCTCAGTGCTCCAGAAAACCTGGAGCCTTCTTGATTGAGGTAAAATTACTGAAATATCATTAACTTTAAACGTTAATAACTCCTTTATTATAACTATGTTTCATGAACGGTTTGCGCCAATTCGTTCGTGAGATCAAGCTCTATTCGAAAATATAAATTCTTACATCGAACGATCTACAAATTTTAAATAATTAGTTTCAAAACTTCACTTTTCGTAACTAGTTTAATTCAAATATAAATTCAAATAAATTAATATAAATTCCCAAAAAATAAAAATCTCAATAATACAATTACTTAGATTATAATAGGGAAATCCAAGAACGGGATTTCACAGGAAAGGTTAGGGACTGGTGGGCAGCTGAGCAAAGACATAAGAGTCAGAAATGGTATCTGAACTCGAGGGTACGAAAAGGAAGCCGATTAATAAGATAGGCAGCCGATGTAAGGGCCTCACCCCAATAGTACAAGGAAAGACGTGCCTCAATAAGAGAAGCACAAACCATTTCTAACAAGTGTCGATTTTTTCGTTCAACCACCTCATTCTGCTAAGGGGTATACGGACATGTGGTCTGATGAACAATAGCATGCTTATCAATGAAAGAACGAAGTTCAGTATTAACATACTCACCTCCATTATCACTTCGAACCACCTGAATTTTCATATTCTATTGTATCGAAACCATTTTGTGAAATTTTTGAAAGACCATACTCACATCAATTTTCAATTTTAGCAAATTAACCCAAGTCATTCGTACAATCATCAATAAATGTGACAAACCAATGAGCTCCACCAAGAGAGGTAATTTTGGAAGGGCCCCAAACATCTAAGTGCACAATCATAAAGGGAACAGAACTCTTATTTAAACTTGGAGGAAAAAAAGTTCAATGGCTCTTAGCCATTTCACACACATGACACTTAAATAGAGAAACAATGTTTTTCACAAACAAACTAGGAAATCATTTACACAAATAACCAAACAAAGCATGGCCAAGACGACGATGCCACATCCACACATTAGACCCTTTATTATTCTTGGCTAGAGTCCCATTCACTGACAGTGCTTGAGTAAGCAATCCCGAACTACTGGAATTCAACTTGAGGTAGTACAACTTCCCTCATCTAATACCGTAACCAATCGTCTTCTGCGTCCAGATGTTCTTAAATACACAAAAATAAGGCCAAAACACCACCAAACAATGTAAGGCAAGGGTTATTTGGGCAACCGATAATAAATTATAATTCAAGGAAAAAAACCCACAAGAACAGTATCTAATTTCATGGTATCAAAAAGGGAAATTGTGCCTTCCCCAAGGACTGGGACATCATCACCATTAGCCACATGAACCTCGGTGTGGGTTGAGTTTTTTTGTGAGGAAACCTATCTAGAATCACAAGTCATATGTTCAGTAGCTCCAGAATCAATTATCCATGTATTATTCATAACAGGAGTGGAGACATTACGTGCCTTACCATCGGTACCTGCTGATGCGAGAATTATACGCACACAAATTAAACCCTCTTTTTATCAATTGTAGTATAAGTATAAGTAGGGATCGTTCTTAACCGGGGATTAGGAGGGATTGCAAAATCACTTGGAAACTGACTCAAAAACGTAAAATAAAGTTTAAAACACTAAACTAGACTCAAAGAATGCAAAACTAAACACTTAAAACACTAAAACAAACCAAAAGACTCAAACAGCACCCAAAACACTCAAAACTGCCTTAAAAACACTTTCTGGGCAGTTTTGAGCACTTTGACTACTTTGGACGAAATTGGGTAATAAAATGAATCAAAACACTTAGAAACACAAACTAAGACACTTTCTAACTAAGTTGGACACTAAAGCAAAGGGGGATTGAGTTTTTGACGAATTTGAAAACAAAACTTAAAACTTTGTAAAACGAACAGATTTTAAAACGAATTTGGATTTAATGAATGGAATGGAAGCTAGCTAAGGGGTTCATCTCCACACATGTTACACTTGCATATAAAACGATTTCCAATTGCTTTTCAATAACTATGATGCTCAACACCCCAAGTTAACCGTGATGCACTAATTAACATTGTCCTCAATGTTTTAAGCATAGATTCACACAAAACATAAGTAAACACACAAAAAGCACTTAAACATACTAAACATGGCAGAATGTAACTAACAAAGAGAAGAGTTTAGGGACGCAAATCTGGTTATGGAGTGTAAATTCCCTCTTCTCCTTGGTGATTGCATTGAGGCTTTGATCTTTGTGATTCCACAGGCTTACACTTGAACTGGGCTGGAGGATTCTTTTGGTCTCCTCCACTCGTTGATTTTCCTTTGTGCTACTCTTGAACTGGGCAGCAGGATTCTTTTGGTCTTCCCCGAAGGTCTGAGCTTCCTCCTTTTATCTATTTCTTTGTTCAATCTTTCCAATTCGTATTGAAGAGGGTTAGAGGATAGCTCAGCATATGCAGTTGTTGCTTGTCTCCACATGCTTCAATGTATCATTTTCACTTGCCTTACTTGCTCCCCTTTGCAGAAGTGGTCCCTTCTCTGGAAGTGTATCAACCGTTGAAGATGACTACTCGAGAGCAACGCTAGGTAAGCAACCAGGGAATAGCTTCCAGGCAGTCGGCTCCAGATCGGAAGACTGACTCCAAGTGCCGGTTGATTGCTTCTTTTACTTTGCTATGCGAGTAATAACAAAGACAAAGGAAAAGACAAGGAAAGAGCATGATATGAGATACTTTTGCTTTTGACCTTGATGATATGAGATACCTTTGCTTTTGAAGAAGCGGTGAATGAATCAGCACATGTA